GCAAGGCAAGGCAAGTTTATTTATATAGCACATTTCATACACAATGGCAATTCAAAGTGCTTTACACAAACAAGAATAAAAGAAACAAGTAAAATAAAAATAAAAACAAATAATCGTAAAAACAAAACATAAAAACAGGTAAAATGTGATATAAAAGAATGAAGAAGAAGAGAAAAACATGATAGTGCAATCTGTCGGACGCAGCACAGTGCTCATTCAGTAAAGGCACAGCTAAACAGATGTGTGTTCAGTCTGGATGTGAATGTGCCTATTTGTTGCCTATTGATGTTCAGCACATCTGATCATTTCTGGAAGCTGATTCCAGCAGCGAGGGGCATAGTGGCTGAAGGCAGATTCACCCTGCTTTGACTGAACTCTTGGAACTTCTAGTTTATATGATCCTAATGATCTGAGTGATCTGTTAGGTTTGTATTCAGTGAGCATATCTGTAATGTATTGAGGTCCTAGGCCATTTAGTGATTTATAGACCAGTAATAATACTTTAAAATCTATTCTGAATGTAACTGGCAGCCAGTGTAGAGACCTGAGGACAGGTGTGATGTGCTCTGATTTTCTGGTTCTGGTTAGAATTCTGGCTGCAGCGTTCTGGATGAGCTGCAACTGTCTGACTGTCTTTTTAGGAAGACCAGTGACACAAGACCAGTGACACAGTGAAACACAAATATTCAAAACAAAGCAAACTAATATAGCGTCTTCATCCTTCAGCGAGCACTGAGATCTCTGAACAGCAGGTTTGATGGGGTTATGAAATGTCCAGTTTTGTAATAAATGTTTTATGAATGGTTCTAGAGGCAGACGAGTGTGTGACGATTATTAATAACCGTTTATAAGAGATGCAACGATTCAGTCGACTCATGATTCACTGCATCATAACATTATTTCACCATATTGTTTTAATTAGTTGAGAGAATTTAGAAATGACCCTTTGATGAAGAAATGATGTAAAATACTGCAGATTTATGTGTAAAATAAGAAACATGTATTTTATAGAATAACATGCATAATTGAAATTTTAAAACAAATTCCTAATCAAATAAATTAATAAATACCAGATAATATAAAAAACCTTCAATTTAAAGAAACTAATATATTAGTTGTGCTTTTTCTTAGCTGAGATTTTTTTTTACCTTTTTAACGTAAAAATGTTTTTAAAAAAATCAGCATATTATTAACTGTTTACATTATTTATATTATTAGAAAAGTAATTATATTATTATTTCTATCTACACTATTGATCTATCTGTATCTAATTCTAATGGGTGAAAAATAATATGGAAACGGACATTTCATTTTTGCAATATTTTAAAATGTTTATGTTCCACATATTACATTTCCTTATATGTATGCAATCCACATATGTAAACTTGTGCATCAGATTTCTATGTGGTGTTTGTTTTTCCATGTTGATTTCTCCTGCTGAACTGAACTGAATCATCACATCTTTGAATCGATTCTCAAATGACTCAGTGAATCGTTACATCCAGTGAATTAGTCGGTGGTCACTTACACCAGCTGATCTGAGGTCAGTCTCTCTCTATCAGTGGTCACTCATTCCGCCTGATCTGGGGTCAGTCTGTTCAGTGGTTGTTCTGTAAACTCTTGACAGGTCTGTAGTCTCCGCTGGAGGGCAGGACGGGCCCGCAGGTGTTCAGGAGCTCCAGTGGCTGAAGCAGAGCAGTGGTGCAGCTGAAGCCCAGCAGTGGGGGCATTATTATGGGCTGCGGCGCAGGCAGCTTCAGTGGCAGCAGGCTGATGGGCAGAGGACTGATGGGCAGAGAACTTATGGACAAAGGACTGATGGGCAGAGGACTGGGCAGCTCGCTCTCCTCCATGCTGTCCTCTGCCCCACCAGCGAAGCCTGAGTCTGGACTCTGAGTGTCCTGCCGGAGCCGCTCCAGCTGCAGCAGATCCGTTTGCTGATCCGGAACACCGCCATCTGAAAACAAATAATACCATCTTTAGATTATGCCATACACTTTCCATTAGACCCGCCCTGAAAGCCCTGCCCTAAAGAACTAATAGCCCCGCCCTAAAAGACTGTTAACTCTGCCCTAAAGGACTGTTAATCCCGCCCTAAAGGACTGATAACTCCGCCTTTAAGGACTGTTAATCCCGCCCTAAAGGACTGATAACTCCGCCTTAAAGGACTGTTAATCCCGCCCTAAAGGACTGATAACTCCGCCTTAAAGGACTGTTAATCCCGCCCTAAAGGACTGATAACTCCGCCCTAAAGGACTGTTAATCCCGCCCTAAAGGACTGATAACTCCTCCTTAAAGGACTGTTAATCCCGCCCTAAAGGACTGATAGTCCTGCTTTAAAGAACTGATGGCCCAACCTTAAGGAACTAATAGCCCCGCCCTATAGGACTGATAGTCCCACCCTAAATGATTGATAGCCCAACCCTAAAGAACTAATAGCCTTGCCCTAAAGGACTGATAACTCCGCCCTAAAGGACTGTTAATCCCGCCCTAAAGGACTGATAACTCCGCCCTAAAGGACTGTTAATCCCGCCCTAAAGGACTGATAACTCCGCCCTAAAGGACTGATAGTCCTGCTTTAAAGAACTGATGGCCCAACCTTAAGGAACTAATAGTAATAGCCCCGCCCTATAGGACTGATGGTCCTACCCTAAAGAACTGATAACTCCACCCTAAAGGGCTGATAGCCCTGCCCTAAATGACTGAGAGCCCCACCCTAAAGCATCAATAGCTCCGCCCTAAAGGACAGTCAGTATGTGTGTATTGTGATATGGATGCTGACATGCAGGATGTTTCTGTACCGTGTGCGCTGCGCTGCGTCTCCAGGCCGCTGATGCCCCCTGCGGGCCCGTATGAGGAGTTCGCGGAGCAGGGCTCTAGAGCGTGCCCGGGGCCCCTGGAGCTCTGCGACAGGAAGTATGTGGAGTTGGAGAAGTCGGAGGATTTGCTGGATTTATCCCACCCGTCCATCGGGCCGCTGTGTGTGTGTGAGTGTGTGCTGAGAGAGTCACAGGCGTCCTGCAGCCTCAACACCTCCACTGGACTGACCAGCTCCGAGTCTGCAGTGATGAAGCTCTCGCGGAGCAGAACCGGGCCCAGCCACGCCTGGGGACACACAACACACACGCCTGAGGATACATAACACACAAAACACACAACACACACGCCTGAGGACACACAACACACACAACACACACCTGAGGACACAAAAGAAGCTCTCTGGACACACTCACCTTAAAATTCCCCCCGTGGCTGGAGTTCAGATCTCCGAAGAACTTGGATGGATCAGGAATATAGGAGAAGTGCTTCATCCTGAGAGGAGAGCGGAGCGTCACTCATCGACATCAACACTCATGATAATATACAGATCCTCATTTACAGCTCTCCTACAGCGAAACAGCTGCGGTTTACAGTTATTGAGTCCATTGATCTCCAGCTCGATCAGGAACACGTTAGCTTAGCTTAGCATAGATCATTGAATCGGATTAGACCATTAGCGTCTCGCTCAAAGTCACTATTCTGTCCTGAATAGTGTGGAAATAGAGTAAGTGTGTGTGTGTGTGTGTGTGTGTGTGTGTGTGTGTGTGTGTATGTGTGTGTGTGCCTGTGCGTGTTATATGTAGCTGTATATGTGTTTGTGTGCGTGTGTGTGTGTCTGTCAGTCACCTGCAGCAGGGGTTGTGTGTCTCTGCCTCCCCACAGTAGATGTCCAGGTGTGTTCGGGGCTCCAGTCGCTCCACACGGCTCTCTGCAGCTCCAGCTTCACCCTCAGCCTGATGCTGTACTGCTGATGCAGCTGGAGATGATCCTCTGGCAGATGCAGCTCCGTATCCGTTGTCTGCTGTTTATCATCATCCTGCACAAACAGAGGACTTAATGTGTCTGTGTGTGTGTGTGTGTGTGTGTGTGTGTGTGTGTGTGTGTGTGTGTGTGTGTGTGTGTGTGTGTGTGTGTGTGTGTGTGTGTGTGTGTGTGTGTGTGTGTGAATGTGTAGTTTGCAGACAGTGATGCTCACCCTCCAGTTCTGAGCTGCAGATCTGTACTGGACCTCAAACATGTAACGTTGTGTTGAATTGAAGTTCCAGGAGACGGTGGAGCCATGAATGGATAATGTCTGAGGAGGAGACACTTTCACTACCTACACACACACACACACACACACACACACACACACACGCACGTAAATTAAGAAGCATTTTCTAGACAAGTTAATGAAGTGAGTTTTCCAATAAGCCAAGCTAAATAATCTGCCATGGGGGAAAGAAAAATAATGCAGTTTGTCCTTTTGACATGAGATTTCTCTGCTGCTCTAGAAAATGCTGCTGGACTGAAGAGAAAAATAAGACTAAAACTCTGAGTTACAGGAGAATATGTGCAGATAAACTGGTGCTCCGGTTTCCCCCACAGTCCAAACACATGCGCTATAGGGGAACTGATCAACTACACTGGCCGTAGTGTATGAGTGTGTGGGTGGGTGTGAATGAGTGTGTATGGGTGTTTCCCAGTACTGGGTTGTGGCTGGAAGGACATCCGCTGTGTAAAACATATGCTGGAACAGTTGATGGTTCATTCCGCTGTGGTGAAATCTGATGAATAAAGGGACTAAGCTAAAAAGAAAATGAATAAATGAATGATTGACCGAATGAATGAATGAATGAATGAATGAATGAATGAATGAATGACTGAATGAATGAATGACTGACTGAATGAATGAATGAATGAATGAATGAATGATTGACTGAATAAATAAATGAATGAATGACTGAATGAATGAATGACTGAATGAATGAATGAATGAATGAATGAATGAATGAATGAATGAATGACTGAATGAATGACTGAATGAATGAATGAATGAATGAATGAATGACCAAATGAATGAGTGAATGAATGAA